CGCGCGCTTTACTTTGGTTGTGTTATAAACTTGTTTCTCTCCACTGTAAGGAAAAGGAACATGTTTATTACTTCCTAGGGTTTAAAGAGCTTTATTCAAAATGATGTAGAGGTCACCACGATACATAATATGTTAACGTTGTTCTCTTTGGATAATTTCAGTGGTGTTGACCCAAGTGAAGCACTTCGTCAACCAGGAGTTAAAACATATGTTGGTGCAGATGATGTACCAGGCCGCAATGCATCAGGGCCTGTAATCTTTGACGAAGAGATCTTTGCCTCAGAAAAGGTACCTTTTTTTCTTTATCTTTCTCTTGTGCTCTTTTTATTTTTCAGTAACTTGCAAGTTTTACGTGAACTGCAAACGCGGGAGTTACAACCAAGCGAGTCACGAAGCTTTCACGGAAACTCCGTGTCACTCTCGTGTTGCACGCCTCTAGGGAAAAATGTGATTTGTCTACGGATTTGATCCTTTACACTCATACATCAGTATGCATATTCTCCACACTTTTCTCTGCACATTTCCCCTGGCATTAACAAGGAGAATTTCTCAAACAATCAGGAGTTTCTCTAGTTAGTGATCATTTCCTCTGTTCTCTTGACCTTAAAGTTTGATTCAGAGGTTATACTCACTGGAAAAAAAAATGTCACGTTCTCTTAGGGGCTAGAGGGTTAAAAGGTCATGTTGTGATTTGTTTTTGGATGATTGCGATTCATTCTGTTTTGTTTCACAATCGGGAAAAGGCGTCGTAGAACGTTACCTTAATCTTGAAGACATTCTTTTGGAATTCTAAGAAAGAAAGCTGACAGGCGATTGGAAAAAACACTGTGAACGCTATACTGCCAGAGATAAAGTGGCATGCAGCGTGAGAATTCCCTATAATTTTCTCCTCCAAATTATACTTTGCTGTACTCACCTCTCCCCTCTTCATTAATTTAGTCCTTTTTCTTACCGTAGGTGACATGCGTGGGTCAGATAATTGGTGGCATTGTTGCTGAAACTCAGGCCCAGGCCCAAAAAGCAGCAGGGATGGTGAAAGTCACCTATGAGGACCTGCCCAGAATAATAACCATTGAGGTAAAGAGCTTATTTTTTCATAGAGTTTACGTTTCCGTTGCAAAGGGAGGCGGCTTTTGTTTTTGCTTTCGACAGGCCCAGCGCGAGGACTACGCGAAAGGCGAGTCACGCGCGTGAGGAGGTAATATTTCGCGCTCTTCTCATGCCTTCCTCGCGCTTGTCTCGCTTTCACCTCCGCTGGGCTGGTAACGCAAAAGAAAACGCAGCCTTTTGCTGAAAGTTGATTAAGAGTCAGTCTATCGTCTCCAGACTCACGATTAGTTTTCAGTGAAGAACTCGCCAACTGAAGTGTCTGTTCTGTTTGTGGACAGGAAGCCATATCTGCAGAGTCATATTTGAACCCTGAACCAATGTGTATTCAGAAAGGAGACCTAGTGACAGGATTTGCTGAATCACTTCATGTTTTAGAAGGGCAGATGAGAGTGGGAGGACAGGTTAGAAGCAAATAATTGTGCGAGATAAACTTTTAAACACGAAAGTTTAAACGTGAAGGTACAAGTAGTGGGCAGAATGTTGAATCTGTGGTTTCTCAAGGGGAGTCATCTTTCTCTTTCTATCGAGGACTGGAGCTAATTCTCTGCTGAAATTGTAGACAAGACCGATTAACTACTATCCAGTTGAAACGTTTATCAACATTCGGGAAAAAAAAAAAAAAAGAAAACAATTTCCACTTTCCACAAGAGCTTATTACTTTCTCCTTGTTTCAGGAACACTTGTATCTCGAGACACAAGCCACGATCGCTGTTCCCAAAGGAGAAGATGGCGAGATGGAACTTTTTGTTTCCACACAAAATCCAACGTTGACACAGGTACAAAAGCATTGTTGTTGCTGTTGTTCACTTATTGCGCACTTTCAGTTTTCAGTAGATGTGTTCGGATGAGAGTTTGTTCACGCGGTTGGTGTTTGGATGCGAGTTTGTAAACGTGGCTGTCACGTTTTAGATTCACTTGCAATTTTGAATAAAGTTATGTCAGTCAGAAGACTTATTCCATGTGTAAGTGGGTGGAGGGAGGGGTGAGGGGAAAGGAAACAATTCTTGAAAGTTATGCAAACCATCGACTGCTTATCTGGTATGCTAACTGTCCCGAATTTTTCAGCTTCCTCCTTCCTTATTACTTACTTGATAACACTCAAGTTTTCGATCACTTCTATTTTAATCTTCTCTACTGACAGTGGTTGATCAATATTCTACACAGCGGACAGAAATGTTTTCTTTAGGGTGGGACTTTGTGTTTAATTTCGTCGAAGTTCAAGTTATCGTTTTATTTTTTTTTTTTTTTTTCGCAAACCGGAAGAAACTTGTCGCGAGTGCACTGGGCGTACCTGCCAACAGAATAGTCGTGCGTACCAAGAGAATGGGTAAGGGAGACTTTAAAATTGCTTCAATGCCATCAACTAAGTTGAAAAAATAATACCTCAAAAATGAAAAATTGGTGGGACTTTTCGATGGAGTCCGTCTCGCGGGAAAAATAATGAGTGTTCTGTGCGGCGCGCTAAGAGCAATTTCTTTTTCACATCGATTTTATTTTACTCGCGTGACGAATTTCGCCGAAAAGGAGAGACCTCTTGTGGTCCATTAGGACTGAATTATTATTTTCTTCTGATTAATCAGGTGGTGGATTTGGTGGTAAAGAGACTCGTAACTGCTCTCTTAGCAATGTTGTGGCTGTGGCTGCAGCTAAGTAAGTTATTTTACCTTTTAACATTTTTTTGATTTTATTATTCATTTATTAGTTATTTTTATCTTGTGATTGAGTTGTACGAAGCAAAGTCTCTAACATCTTAAAAGAATATTACTAATTTTTACGACACGCTGCTCGTTACAGCGAGACATTATCACGCTTAAAACGGAGAAAAAATTGTTAGTTATTACTACGAGCATACGAACGTACTTCTGTGTCGTTTGTGTTTCAGGGTTGGTAAGCCTGTGCGTTGCATGCTTGACCGAGATGAAGACATGAAAAGTACTGGCACTAGACACCCATTCTTAGCGAAGTACAAGGTACGATTCATCATTTACACTTTCTGATATATTTAAACACTTGTCTTAGGGCTTCTTTTGATTGAATCAGTTTGCAGGCTGAGTTGCAAAAAATCTTAACTAGCATTATTGAGAACACCTGCGTTCCCTACGGTCTTTGTCATTTTTAACTCATGTTTATCGTATTCAACTTCTTCCAAAGTTGTCCATTTTTGGTCTATTTTTACCTATGGCTTTTGTCTACTTCGAAAGATTTTTTTTTTTTACTGGTGTTATTCCAATATACGAATAATTATAACGTTTCCATTTCCTCCCAATGCAATGAAAAATGACCTATAGCTCCTCTTCCCTCTGTACTCCTCTTTAGGTCGGCTTCACAGCAAATGGAAAAATCAAAGCTCTCGATGTCAAGATGTACAGTAATGCTGGAAATTCCTTGGATTTGTCAAAATCTGTGAGTTTTTTCTAGAGCGCTGAAAAATCTCACTCGCTCAGCTTCTTTGTTCCCTTGAATTATTCTTTACTAAAGCTGTGATTATTTTCTGCAGGTTATGGAGCGTGCGATTTTTCACATGGAAAATTGTTACCTTATTCCAAACATCCGGGGACGTGGCTATTTGTGCAAGACCAACATCCCTTCAAACACTGCATTCAGAGGATTCGGCGGGCCCCAGGTCAGTAATATCTATGTTCTATTGGTTGATTTTGTGCGATTGACAGCAAAGTGACTGAGATGGTATTCTTCGCAAGTCACTGTTACTCTTTTCGCATTAAGGCTTCAAGTGAGGTTTGAATCAAAAGTATGAGTTTTACTTTAAAATAGCTTGAAGGCCATACTGGTTCTTGTTGCATCTTTTATTTAGTGCGCTGGCTATGATGGGTTAATTTAGGGGGGAAAAATCAAATTATAATTCGACTCTTAGGAAAAAAGCAAGCTTACAACTTAATCATCAAAATGTGATTACCTTTTTTAGGGTATGATGTTTGCTGAATCGTGGATAAATGATATCGCAGTCACTTGTGGTATTTCGCAAAGACGGGTGAGTAAGGCAAAATTTTTTTCGTGCCCTATCCTGTTAGTCTCCCTCGCAGCCGTTTTTAGTCTCGTCGTGCAACGCTCCTTCCCGCAAACGACTACTTCAACCAATCACCATTCGGGTTTCATATGTCGAGAACTCTGCGCGCCAAAGTAATCTAACCAATCATATTGTTTGTTTCATCTTGGAGTTCAAAGCTTTCACACGGGGGTCTTACTGTCAGTTGACTAGGGAAAGCTTCTAGCACAAGTCCGTATGGATGACTTCGAATAGGAGACACACCAATAGAACCAATAGGAAATCTTGCCGGAGTATAACGTACCTGTTGGCTGATCGCGATAGAAATACTAGAATGAGCTGTAGCATTAAAAGTACAAGTGGTATTAATTAATTAATGAACTGATTTGTAACATGAACGATTTTTGATGATAATTGTTGTTTGCATATAGTAATTAAGTAATATATAAGTAATATGAAAGTATATA